AAACATATACTTAATACATTCAAACAATACTTGTATTAATATTGTGTATTAATATTGTGTTTATGAAAGGGACTATATACTCACTTCAAATAAACAACAATATATATACACATAACATGTATTTCAAAGCAAATACTTCATATTTATGTGTTAGAGGAAAGTAACCACACACTCACTTGATAAGAAGATGATCGGACAACACTATGGCTCTTGAAATAATCTTTTGCGACAAAACTGGGATGTTTCCTCCAAAACCGGGCTTCACGCGGGCAGAGCTTCAGCTCGAAAACTATTTTTCTTGGGATCTTCGAGCTTCAGGACTTGCTTTAGGGCTCGGGAATGATTCCAGGGCTTCAGGATATTTCTTGAACGAAAAACGAGGTAAAACGGGAGAGGAGAAAAATTGTGCAAGGAACTCGGCTGCCCTCGCACCCTTTATATTGGGGCTGATTCTTCGAATTACGCTGGGCGTAAATAGAGTTACGCTGGGCATAATTTGGATAAGGCCACTGACTCCCCCCCCCCTTTGGATAATATCCGAATTTATATTTAAATTAAATAGTTTAATTATTTAATAAACGTCAAAAATTCATATCTCCCTCATACGAGCTCCGGTTTCGACGTTCTTTGTATCCCCGAGTAGGTGAGACAACAATCTACAACTTTAATTTAGACTCTGTCGGCTAATTTTGAATTCATTTTTATTATATTATTTTAGTAGGCCGAGATTGGAAAACTATGTTATAAATTCATAACTTCTTCATCCGACGTCCATTTTTGTCTGTCTTTTTAACGTTGGACTACTATCAATGAGATCTTCGATTCTCGTTTAGATTGTTTCGGCTAAAAACCGTTCGATCTTAAATCGAGTATTCGAGCTGCATACTGCTAAGCCGAAATTTAGAAAAATCATAACTTCCTCATACGAAGTCAGATTTGGGCATTCTTTTTATGCACGCTCTCGGTTTAACCAACTCTACGACTTTCGTTTAGATGACTCAGGCTAAATTTCGCTCTAACATAAATTCAATTTTTATGTCATTCAGCGTTGTGCTGGTTCTGTCGCGAAACTTCGACAGGTCACAACTTCTTCGTTATAACTCGGATTTCGGCGTTTTTTATATGTACGGAATCCTTGCAACATATACTACAACTTAGTTAAGATTATTCATCCTAAATAATCTTCTATCAAAAAGTCATTTTTGACGCTTATCGTCTCTAAATTGACTAGTCCTGATCTACGGGCGTTACACAAACACCATTTACAGTCTTAAAGTTTTAAGACTACAACACTTTTACAAGTAGAAAATATTGGATTTTCTGGGAAACTTACATTATACATTACCTTCTACTTACAACCAAAAATATAGGATGTTCCTTGATTACTCGCTTTACATATTTTCTAAACAGAAACACATGTGCTTTAATACAATATTTGATACAAAACTTTCAGAACATTTTTATAGAAAATATTGGATTTTCTGGTGTTTACAAAGTGATACAAACTTTTCATACAAATATGCTTATGAACTCACCAATATTATATATGTTGACCGTTTTCAAAATAACATGTATTCTCATTAAATTGTTAAGCAGGTTGGTCTTCAAGAACATATGGATTTTGTTGTATTTTTGTTATCATCATACACTTATTATTTTGGAATGTAATTTGTAAACTAACACACTGACGTAAACAATGATAGTTGTATTATTGTATGTGTGATGATGACGTTGTCTTGATTCAATTACTTACACTATAATGATATTACAAGATGAAGTCACCCAACCCCCGGACGTTTCCGTCGTTCCGGTTTGGGGTTGTGACAGTATTTGTATTAAAAATTTATGTTTTCATACAAGGTTCTTATAGATAATAATAATCATAATAATACGCGCATGAGTTTGCCTTAACAGTTAGGCATAACAGTAAAAATGTAGAAAATTAAAGTACTTTAAAAGCCAAAATGTATCCTTGTATAAGTAAATGCATGCTTTAAAATGTAGTTGTAACAATTCCTTAAAATTCAAAATGTACCATTTGTATAAGTAATTTCCATACTTAAAAATAGTTTTAAAAGCAACCAAACCTATGGTTATAGTGTGAGAGAGAGAGGGAGAGAGAGAGAGAGAGAGAGAGAGAGAGAGAGAAAGATTCGTGATAATGCTTATAGTGAGTCCTATAATCGAGGTATTGATGAAAAGTACCCCTCCCTACAACGCTTAATTGAACGTTGTAGTAACGATCGTAGACACATATCACCTGCTACGATTGATCAGTCGAAGATTGTAGCTAGCATCCGCAGGTGGGGTTGTCGACCCCATATAGATCTATGCATATGATTGCTTTGAAGATTAACGATTGTAGTAGTGTATGGTAGACTAAGTGGTTAGACTCCGCTAATGAATAAAGTATCGTCCCACTAAAAGCCATTAACTAAAAGTTTGTGAATAACTCTCACCCTTAACTTAATTATAGTTTAGTACCATGCATAATGAATTTCGTAGTATAATGTTCATAAAATCCGAGTATGCTTTATATAAATCAGAGTATCTCTTTTAATAAAAAAGTTGCGGAATTAGTTCCCAGAAACACATGATAATTTCATTATTAACGCATTTCCGAAGAAATGTATTTTTCTTCATTTTAAAACATTTGGGATGTCATCGTCAATACAGAAACATAAGCATAAACAGAACTTACATTCATTTACACTAGTGATCTATATATCCTTAATCTCTTAGTGTAATGTAACATCATCTCGTCATCGATGATACAAGTAAACTGATTGGGTCAGGTTGGGAAACCTGGTGAGTACATAGGGTTTTCAACCCACAATAATATAATTATTATGTTTAATCATCAAACAATTAACCCAATTACCCATTCCCATTATCTTCTATATTCCTAAGTACTTTCCCTAAGGATTTATCCTAAGGGTCGTCTCCTACATCATATTTACCTCTCATCTCCATACATCGCATTTCCTTATAAGTTTGTTCCTAAGGACTCTCCCTAAGGATCATCGCCTACATCACATAGATAGTATTGATTCAGGCATTACTCCCTCAATACGTGCCCAAAAAGGGTTAGGGTATTATCGCATGAATACGTAGTTACAACATCGCCTGAACTCTTAATTCATAATAAGGGATTAGAGTATCATCGCATGAATACGTAGTTACAACATCGCCTGAACCCGTAATTCATCACCTATACGTTATGAGTCTGCTCGTGTTTCCAAGGGGTTGTCTATAATAGTCCGTGGTCACCATCTATACTCCGGTAGATAACTACATCTCCAAATTATCGGACAAGGTTATAGTATCTTTCATCCTACATCACCGATTCATCATCACCTATCTATCCTCACCTAATTATCATCACCTATCTCTCATTATTTTATTTCGTCACACATCAACTATTTCATCTACCCATGTTTTATCCCAACATATTTGTAGATATAAAATAAATATATAGTTTGAATCATTTAAAACAATTATAAAATCATTCATCCAACATAGACAGCAAGTATCTAGATAATATGCACACATGGAACGTAATTTATATAAAATATTTCATATCTATGTGTAAGATGAAAGTAACTATGCACTAACTTGTTAAAGTGATGATTCCAAACTCGTACAACGCTTCGCTTCTTAACAATATTATTTATGTCGACGAAATAGCGAGTTTTTATTAAAAACTGAGCTTCACTGGAGCAGCGTTTTCGAGCCGAAAACTTTTCTTCTCGGAGCCGTTGGGAGCTCTGGGGCTTCCTTCTCGTGCTAGGGAGGTTTCCTAGACTTGGGAGGGGTTCAAGGAGGCTAGAGAGAAGTTAGAGAGAGAAAGCACTACTAGAAAAACAGCCTTTTACGACGCGCAAAACACGACGCTCTTTGATTTATGTTACGCATTAGAGAGCGACATTAAAAAAGAGTCATCTCTTTAAAAAATTTAAGAATTTAGGTCGCGCATTACTGAGTGCCCTTAAATTAGTGTCTGACGAAAAGAAATTAAAAACACGGAGGGCGCTTTATTTTATAGGTGCGTCGTCTATATTTGTCACTTTATAATTTTAATGAAAACGCGCGCTTAGTAGAGGTGGGAAACGAAATCCCCAAAATTTTGAAAAGTCGTCTTCTACCTTCTTTTTATCTTTCATCTTCTCCCCTCTCCCTCCTTCTCTCTCCTCTCTGATTCGCTTCCCCGCCACTCCTGACCTCCTTATCGATCTCATCAAACATCGTGTCCCATCCTTAATACCTCGCGGGAATCTAAAATTTAGAAAACCCCGTACTCAAAAAGTCTAAGAAACTAGGGTTTTTTCATCCCTCAAAGCAGAACGACCCACATCCTCCATAGATCGATCTCTATCGCTTCATTTCTCACAAAAAATCAAACACTTTACGTTCATAGGGCCACTATTGCAAGGATTCTCACTCACCTTTCTAGAGAATACCTTCGCATATATAACACGATCATCTTCACAAAAATGGCTGCCACCATTTCTTGAGCGGGCTCAAGCTACAATTGACAATCGGAGCTCAAAGCTTTCGACCAAACAAAAACCAGCGTCAAAGGCCTCGTCGATGTCGGAATCCAATCAGAGCTAGGGCTTTTGTGAAGAACTTTCCCCCCTTTCTCTACTGCGTGTTCTCTCTTCTGCATCTCCACCCTCCAATGAAATCCAATCACCAACGATCCTATAACAGTTTTTTCTCATGCTCGAACCCTAGATCTCACCTCGTACCTTGCTACATCTCTATAGCAACAGCGGCTAAACAGAAACTCCACCACCACTAACGGCGGCTCGAACCCATTGATTATCTCAATTTCCTCCTCTATTTGGGGGATGAAAACTAATGTCGAATAAACAACTTCATTTTTTGATTCAATTGCTTGATTTTGTCGATTCGTATACGATTGCATCAGCAGCTGATCCAGTCTCGCACCAAAATCTATTTGAAGAAGATTAGAGACTGTTCAGCTACAATCACGAATGACACAACCTTCACCCTCCTCCGCCTTCTGTATACATGCTTCTTTGGTATCTACATGTGCACTAAGGGACTGCATCACAAGTAACTCTGGTGACATGTATGTGAAATTCCCAATTCAATAAATGCTACCATACCTAGGTCTCGAGTATTCTATTGAATTTTTCTTTAATTTGCAGAAGTTCTCCTAGATTGGCATTTTAACGTGTGGATAATACTCTTCTTGAAGATGATGAGACTTTTAAAGCTCCTGTTCGCTTTCAACTTTTCGGGTAAATAAAGAAACATAAAGGCGTTGAAAGTATATCTTTGTGGTTGCCTCAGGCTCCCCCTAGATATTTATAAATGGTTTAGTGTTATCCTCCGCATTGATAACTAGGATCTGAATTGTTTTATATGTTTGGAATTGCAGATGAAACCATTATCTAACATATCATTGAGCAATATTGGATTTAGTCTCCATAGCAGGCTTGATTACCTCAATGCCACTGTTTGCTTCTCATTGGCCGCCAGATCATATAATGATAAACTTGAAGCTTGGGAGCCTCTTGTTGAACCTGTTGATGGTGTCTTAAGGTGGGTTATCTCTTTCTCTAGAATTTTTCAAATAGGTTTTAGTGATAAATTTCTGAAGGGATCCCTTTTATCTTTCTTTCTCCTTGTTTAATGTCTTCTTGTTTGGTTTCAATGTGCAGGTACTAAAATGATGTTAATGCTTCAAGTGCTGCATCTCAATTACTTTTGATGTCACAATGACTTTTGTTGTAACTGGCTTGGTCTCAGGTGCAGCCCAAAATATCCTTGTCTGTACACGAAGAACTGCATCTTGGGGAGCACATATCTGCTCATCTGGGACCTACAATCCATTTCTTCAATGTAAGTTGATACTTGATATAATAAACTTAAAGTTTTTCAATTGAAATTCAAGCGCTTTCCTAACTACACTCACTTCCCCAGAAATCTGTTTGTTATTTAAGACAAAAGAAAAACACACAAAACAGACCCTTCTGCATACAAGAACCCAAATATTTCCAAAACTCTTCCACTTTTAACCTTATTTTCTTGAGATACATTAACACCAGTACCCTTCTTTTCTAGTTCTCACCTTTCAAACTGTTTTAAAAATGATCATTGTCCAGGCTGTCAACATGTGTGTTACTCGAAAAACTAATTTTCAGACATAAATCCATCTGACAGATCATCAAATGAAAATGTTGAAGTTAATTACTGATGGGTGTCTATTTTGAATAGGTAAAAGCTTAGAATTATCCAGCCATAGTTGTTACTGCTGGAATAATGGTAGGTTGTCAAGAGTGATATTCATGATGTGATTGATAAAGATGGTGAAGGGTTCACTATGGTCACAAAAAAAGCTGGAAATGCAGGGACTGCTACTGTGAAGGGGGTACGGTACAGGTGATATTCATCCCAATGTTTCTGGAAGCAAAGGTAGTAATTGGAATGGAGGGAATAACAAAAGAGGAAGCTATAATAGTGTTAATAAGGGTAATAAAGGTTGGAATAACAGAAGTCATAGGGGGAGTGTTAGCCATTAGAATCATCAAAAGAAACACGAGTTTGTTGCTGCAAATAATAAATCTTTCATTGTAGATAAGCAGGGGCATAATGGGAAAGAGAGTGTGGATTCTAGGAAAAAAGAGGAAAAAGTGGAGAAGGGAAGGGATTTTAAGGGTAGCCAAATTATAAATCTTTCATTGTAGATAAGCAGGGGCAGTCTTCTCCTGATTCTATGGAAAAGGTTGTCACATAATCAACTTTGTGATTGTATATTGATGATTATAGATTGGTGGCTTTGAGAATCTAACAATAACTTTAACTTTTTTTCTTGCAGATATCAGCAGAATCCTATCCTACTTCTGATCTGTTGGTCAATAATTCTGACAGCGGTCAAATTGAGGCTATAGAATCTAAGTGTGATACCAGTGTGAATTCCAATCTTGGGAACCATGATTGTTTAAATCCTATGAATGACATCCTTGATACCATGTAAGTTTGAAAATTTAATCATTGCAACTTACTAAGTATCAAAATAAGAAGGTTGGATGTTTTACTTTGTGATTTTTTTTATTTATTGTTTATCATAATTGTTACTTTGCTCTAAGAAATAATTGTCATAAACGGATTACTCTACCATACACAGGGGACAAATACCTGCTTCATAAACAAAGCACAAAATGGATCACAGTTATGACAATGGCGCCTCCAAGGCTGGAAAACGGTGTCGGGGTGTTAGATAAGCCAGTAATAGAGAAAACAACTCTTGGAAGAGAGTCTGAATTTGACTTGAGGTATTGTATCACTTTCAATGAAGTTTGAAATGCATATAGTAAAAGATTAGGTCGATTTACCTTTTTTTTTTTTGTTTTTTTAGGAAATCAAGGAAAATGGCACCACCATATAGAGTGATGCTACACAATGACAACTACAACAAGAGGGAATATGTTGTGCAAGTGTTGATGAAGGTTATACCTGGAATGACAGTTGACAATGCAGTTAATATCATGCTCTTGACCTAGACACCACTCTAATAGGGCTTTTCCAAAAAAAAAATTGACCATCTTGAAAATATTCCAAAACCACAGGGTGGAAATATCTCTACAATTACATGTGATTTATCAGTAAGTATAATCTTTAATTTTAATCCATTCAAATATGTGACATGGTTTTGTTTTATTTATTTATATTTATACTCATGTATATAATGTATAAAAAAATTACATAAACAGGAATTATGTAAAGATTGGTTATCAATTTTAATGATTGTTACTTCTGCACGATCTTCAATTAACATAAGACATTTGGAGAAAGCAACAGTGTCTACTGGAAAAGAAGGCTTGTTATCTGAAGGGAATGGTCTACTGGAAATGAAGGCTTGTAACATTTTTGGTTCTTGTTCCCAACTTTACTTGGAACAGGGGCCGAAAGTGTAACTTACTCTAAATTTTATATGTAAATTTTATTTTATATTTTGAAGGGAAATTTACTGAATATTGATTGGTTGATGCAGTTAACTAGAATTGGTCGAGATGCAGTTTTATATGTTGAGTCGCTCGTTGAGTCAATCATGGGAGGATTTGAAGAGCTAATCAACATTCTTGGTTCTGAAGGAGGTTTTGGCTCTTTGGAGACACATGTTCTTACTATTTTATCAATTTCCTTAAAAAGTTACCAAATTCATGTATTAAATTTGATAAAGCTAACTTAATTGCTTTTTTTTAAATCCTAGCATCTACCAGAAGTCAGCTGAAACTACAAATGGCTTTTGATGGGCAGGAAAGATATATGAAGGTATGATCTATATTGTAATTCAGATTCTATAACTTTTATCATGTAATCTCTTAAGTCTTAATACCCATTATTCCTTATGCATGTAGAGATCTTGGGAGCCAAGTGATAAAGCTGATCTTCACTTTGTCTACAAAGATGTTGAAGGAGTATCAACTCAATGGGATGATATTCAAAGAAAACTCAGGAACTTACCTCCTAAACCCTCTGCCTTCAAACCCGATCCCTTCACTCCTGCAGAAGATGAAGATTCCAAACCTAAAACCAAATCTCGGATCGATAAAAAGACAGAAGAACTCAAAGATTTAGAAGATGATCTTGATGATAGTTGTTTCCTCAAAGAATACAAGTACCTTCAACTCCCTTAATCCTAATATCATTTTATGAGGGTATTAAATTTCATGTGATATTTTCATGGTTTCATTTTCTTTTGTGTTCTTGAAGCAGAAAGAGGTTAGCAGAGATGAAGCGAACAGTGGAAGTTTGAACTCGGAATGTCGGGCATCATCTATGGTGGCCCGGGCAGCATCTATTTCAATATTGATTGTGTGAAAGTCATCTACTAAAGCAAGGTTGGTGTAAGAGTTGATGATGAGAACATTGTTCCAAGACCTTCAGTGAGTTATGATGATGTCCCTTGATAGCAATGTAGTATTAGGTTATATAGTTACTGATGATTACTTGTATTTGACATTTCATGCAATGAATTATCTTACTTATTTATTGTATTTTATTTTGTATCTTGTATGACATTAATTTTTGTGCAATGGATTGTATTTTTTGTATATGGTGTTTTATTTCTATTATGAGAAATTAAATGCAAATTTAATTTAAAAATTAATAAATATATAAATTTATTTTTTTAAACATTTAAATTTACGATACGCAAAAATGTGTCATCTTCATTTATGACATGGCCTTTCTTGACAGGGGATTTCTTGATACGCATTGTGTGTCATTAACACGCGCGTCGTAAGGTTACGACACGCGAACGCGTGTCGTCTTCCTTTATGACAGGGCCTTCCTTGATACGCATTGTGTGTCGTAAACGCGCATCGTAATTGCGCGTCGTAAATGAGCGTCGTAAAAGCGCGTTGTCTATAGACGACGCGCCAAAGCGCGTCGTCTCTCTTTATGACAGGGCCTTCCTTGACGCGCATTTGCGCGTCGTCTGAGCCTTTTACGACGTGCAGTGAGCGTCGTAAAAGGCTGTTTTTCTAGTAGTTAAGAGAGCTTATGGTGTGAAGAAAATATGAAGGATTCATCCTTTATTTATAGGGTTTTAATCATAGAGTAGTTTCTAAACTTCGTCTGTATATTCTGCGTACAAGCTCCGTTTTCTATGTTATTTATATGCACGTGTTTGTATTTACGAGTACTACAACTTTCATTTAGACCTCATCGGCTAATTATCATTGTATCTCAGATTTACAAAATTGTATTCCAATTCGCCACACTTGAAAACTAGAGACTAAGCTTCATCCATATCTTATGCTGTAACGCCCGCGTTTCCAAGCTAGGCATTATCATCGATGTAATAGTCTAGGTTAACCCTTGTAACTCTTTTTGAAGTATTAATGGTGAAATATTTGAGTATTATGTGAATTATGTGTTTATTTTCTTAATTATTATAATTTAATGAATTAAGAATAAAATAAGCATCAAATTTGAAGTGTGGGATAATCCCAATATCTTTTCATAAAGATGTAGTGGTCGAAACGAGGATTCCGAAGATATAAAGAATGCCGAAATCCGAGTTATAACGAAGAAGTTATGACCTGTCGAAGTTTCGCGACAGAACCGACAAACGCTGAATGACGTAAAAAGTGAAATTTACGTTAGAGAAATATTTAGCCTTAGTGATCTAAACGGAATTCTTAGAGTTCGTTAAACCGAGAGTGTGCATAAAAAGAACGCCAAAATCTGACTTCGTATGAGAAATTTATGATTTTTCGAGGTTTCGACTTAGCAGTATACAACCCGAATATTCGATTTGAGATCGAGCGGTTTTTATAACCGATAAAAAGATAGGCGAAAACGGACGTCGGATAAAGAAGTTATGAATTTATAACGGAATTTTCCGGTCCCGGCCTACTAAAAATAAATAATAAAAATAAACTCAAAATTAGCCGACAGAGTCTAAACGAAAGTTGTAGATCGTCGTCTCACCTACGTGTGGATATAAAGAACGTCTAAAATGGAGTCCGTATGAGGAAGATATGAATTTTTGAAGTTTATTAAATATTTTCGATATTTTATTCATATATATATTTCGATATTATCCGAAGGGGGGGGGGGGAGGGCGGTAGTCAGCGACCTTATCGTCGTTACGCCCAGTGTAATCTCAAGTTACGCCCAGCGTAATTCGACCTTCCAGCCCCTATAAAAGGGTGTCGAGGGCAGCCGAGTAGTTTGCTCATTTCTTCTCTTTTTCTCACGTTTTTGCATTGTTTTTCATGCAAGAATTATCCCGAAGCCCCGGTATCATTCCTGAGCCCCGAAGCAAGTCCCGAAGCCTCGAAGATCCCGAGAAGTGCGATTCCCGAGCCGAAGCTCTGTCCGCAAGGAGTCCGGTTTTTGTGAAGATCTTCCAGATCTGCCGAAGAATACTACTTCTACAAGTCGTAGTGTTGTCCGATCATCTTCTGATCAAGTGATTGTGTGGTTACTTTCTTCTAACGCATAATTATGAAGTATTTTATAAGACATACGTGTTATGTGTATATTTTGAGTTATATGTGTGAATGTATATTCACTTTCTTCTATCTCATAGATACGATTTATTCTCTATGAAATACGTGTTATGTGTATGTGTCTCATCTGTTGTTTTGGAATATGTATTGAATGAGAATGTTATACAGGTTTTAAACTATGTATAAAAATATATATTTTTATCTACTAATATGTCGGGTAGAACATGGGTAGATAGTTGACATGTGATAAACAGATGAGAGGCCTCGATGTTGTTTTTGATTCAGTCATCTAGCGGAGTTTAGATGACGACCACAGACTTTTCTAGACAGTCATGTGGAACGCTAGTAGGTTCGCCACCTGTAGGTGTTAATGAACTTGGGTGTTCATTCGCTGTACTCCATCCCCCTCATGGTTGCCTTATTTGACATATATTGCCGGGAAACCCCCGAATGCATGTGTTGTCGCCCCGATGAAATATTCTAAGACTAGGTCCCTTGTGTTAGTTGTTTTAGGGACGTAAAGTGAGAATAACGGGAATGGGTAATTGGGTTATTGTTGATTGGTGGAATTAAATATAATTATTTATTGTGGGTTGAAAACCCTATATGCTCACCAGGCTCCCAAGCCTGACCCACTCACGTTTATTTGTATTACAGGAAGTGGTGCTAGGGCATAAGATGGATGAACCATCAAGTTGTTTTGTTTACAAGTTTGTATATGTATATATTTGTTGAATGACTTGTAATGTTATCGTTTATGCTTTATGGTCTGTATTAGAACATGACATCCCGAGTTTTGATTATATAATGAAAATACATTTCTTTTATGAAACGCTTTGGTAAATATTATTTTATCACGTTTTGTTTTTGGGAACAAATTCCGCAACTCTTTCAAATCAAAAGGATTTACTCTGAAATTATTTTAAAAGCATAAATGAAAATCGGTCTTTTATGGCCAAGATTATAACAACCCGAAATTTCCGCATCATTTTAATGTAACTCTTTCATAATACAATTCGCGCAACCGATCGTCGTTCCGATTCCGATTTCCGATCTTCCGTTTAATTAAGTCATTATTTAGTACACATTTAAAATGACTTAATGGGTGTCTTAATACATTTAGAAATCATTTTAACACCCAACTTTAGTGATCGGAATATTTCTAGAAATTACCGTATCGGGTTACGGTAACTCAATCGGGTACGACCAAAAACCCCGTCTAACGCCGGTATCGGGTAGAATTCCACCGTGTCCAAAACTTAAACACTATATAAACGTGTTTAAGACTTCATTTGAAGCCTTTGGTCAAATTACCACTAAACACTACCCACCTCTCTCCTAATCCAAGTTTAAGGGATCAAAACTCAAAATTAAGGCTTCTAATCTCTAAGGTATCTTCCTAGCCTTAATCTATAACATATTTGGCCTTCAAATTCGAGTTCAAAACATAAATTAGGACAACATTCATGAGTTTACGGCCATGGATCCTTCATGGGCCATAAACTCATATATCAAGGGTTTTTAAGCCCTAAAACCCTTCCTTTGCATAGTTGGACACTAGATATGACATAATGGCTTAAAGGAAAGAACTTATAACATGTAAAACTTGGATTTTGAGGGACAAAAGTGAGTTTACGGCCAAGGATCATTCTTGGGCCGTAAACTCATATTCAAAGGGTTTTTGAGCCAATTAACCCTTCCAAATCACTTCTATGACTTAGGTATGAATTATAGGACCTTGGTGTAAGCTTTTGGACACTTGAAACATGAAATTTGGGGGACTTATGTGAGTTTACAGCCAAGGATAGTGCTTGGGCCGTAAACTCACCAAAATGTCACATAAATCCAATTCTAAGGTGTTAGAAAGCCATCCAACACCACCAAAAGCATTGGAATAAATCAAGGGACCAACCAAAAATACTTTAAGGGCCTAAAACACATCATTTGTGGGGTTTCTAAGAGTTTACGGCCAAGGATTGTTCTTGGGCCGTAAACTCCAAAACTTTTGGTGTTAGAATGCAAACTAAACACTCCTAAAGCCTTTAGATGAATTTTAGAAGCCATTCTATGCAAGTTCTAGACCTTGAAACACTTTGTATGACCGTACATTAGAGTTTACGGCCAGGAGCCTATACTGGGCCATAAACTCCCATATAATAATCATTTTGATGATTTAAATTCATTCCAAGTGTTCCAATGCAATTTAGATAATCCATTCTAGCAACCCCTATGTCCATTTGAGCCCTTAAACCATCAAAACCACACCCACATGAGTTTACGGCCGTAAACTCATGTATGTGTGTGTTCCATAGTTGTAAACTCATTTAAATGTTTACTTACGGGTAGTAAACTCAAGTCCCAAGTCCCTAGTGTCATTACAAGTCCGAAGATGTCACCCGGGTCACTCCAAACGCTCGTTTTGAGGTGTTTAACCTCATTGGAGTGTAATGTTCCATATGATTAGTGAATGTATCTCTAATTGTATATATATGGACATTATATCATTTTACATAGGATCATTGCGAGTAATCAAACCCCGAACCGACGTATAGCATTCAAAACCGACACGTTTCCGAGTCCGGTGAGTTCATACCCCTACCCTTTTTCCACTGTTTTCACTGTTTTCAGGGGGGGAACACAAGCAAAGTACAAGGGAATTCTTGTACTCAAAACATGTTTTCAAATGTGTGTTTCGTACTTATATGCTTTTATTACTGATTACATATCCGATAACCACTTGAACATACAGATCAAGTAACATATATTTGTGAAATAGGTCTTTAAACTAGTGTGT